CTGGTGGCACTGTGCTGAACACGTCCTGGATGCGATGGCCGGGCCACTGTGTGACCACCACTGGGCAGGGCCAGGCGGAGGTACCCAATTGCGGGTGCCACCATTTGCTTTTCTGCCTATCAAACAGGAGAGAGAAAATTGGAAACAGGGGTTAACGTTTTTATTTTCTCTTAGGACTTTTGTTTACTAAGTTAATTGTTTATTTAGTGAAGGCTTTGGCTTTAATCACAGTTATTAGCAGGAGAAACTATATTTGTGTAGCTTAACATCCCAGTGGAAAAGTCGGATTAGTAAATCCAAGCCTTTCTTCATTTATCTTTGGATTATAATAATATATTTTTAGACAAGCCATAAAGCCAGAGAGTGTCAATAAAAGGTGACGTATAGTGAACCAATACACAGTTTCTTTTTAGGCCTTTGGATGCTGCAGTGACATCCCCTGTCCTGTTCTGCCTCAGATGGAAACATGCGGGGTTTGCACTAAAAGCTGCTGCGTTGAAACTTGGAGAGCACTGGATTTTTCTGTTTTGGCCTGTGGGCAGTGTTAGAATGGCAGAAGTTGTTGAGATTTACTTCCTCTGGGGGTTCACGATCAATTTATGCATGTTTTCAGTGGTAAAACATACCGATTGGATCTCTCAAAGCCCTCGATATACTTTGGAATTTGTGTATAAACTGGTCCACTACTTGGGATTCAGCACAAGTCAAGGCTTCAAAGGGGCTGAGTTTCTGAAATCTCCTAAGAGTCTCATTTTAAGGCGGGTTTACTAGCAAGACAACCCTGGATGTGGCAACCAGCAAGGCTTCAGAATGGTTATGGAAAGTGCGCTTTTCTCAGAGGGGAAGTTCAGTCTCTTCATAGGTTTACAACATTTATCAGGATCTGCGAAGACCCTGCTTCCTGTCTTTGCAAGTCTGGCCAGAGTTCTGTGGGTTGAGAAGAGGGTGGGTCTGTCCAGATTCTTGCCTTGCCCAAGCTTGGGCCACCTGGTGGTGGTTCACAGTACAACCCCAGGGGACTCGTGACAGATAGGAGCTTATCCCTGAAATTAGAGCAGTGGCGACTCGTGATGACACAGAGCACCAGGCGGACTTATAACCTTGTTTGCGATCACAAGTTCTGGATGAGATTTCTAGAAAAACGTGACCTGTGCAGTTGTTTGGTACAACTAACTTGATGAGAGGCCTGGACTGTCACTGACCCCTCCCTCAGCTGATCAGCTGGTCCAGGGCAGGAGAAAGCAGCCCTGTTTGAGAGCCACTGTGCTCCGCGAGTTGTGCCATGTTCTCCTAACTGGGATAGAACAGCCCAGAAGCTTGCTCCCTCCTCCCTCCCTTGTCATTTTCTCTTCTCGACCTGACCTCCCCTCCTCTTTTCATGAACACACTCCCTCTTTTATTTCAGGAAAGTTAATCACCAACCTCAATCATAGGCTAAATGACCGGAAAGTGATTTTTTAAATTCAACAAAAAATCTTATCACGGGAGCAGGGTGAAAAAGGTAAAGGGATTAAAAGTCCAAATTGGAGTTACAAAATAATCACAGGATGTAAAGTACAGTGTGGGGACCACAGCCAGTAATCTCATAATAACTTCGTGTGGGGTCAGGTGGGAGCTATGTTTATTGGCAGGGGCAGGGGGACACTTCAAAAATTATATAAATGTCTAACCACTAGGCTGTACGCCTGAAATTAATACAAAATAATATTGAATGTCAACTGTAATTGAAAAAATGTGTTGAACTAAATAAAAAACTAAGTGTCCAAGGCCCTGAGGGACACCCACTCCCCGTCCCGGGGCCTATGCGGAACCCAAAGCTTCCTTGTGCGCTCACACCTGAGCGCTATGGGTGAGTCGGCTGGCGCTGACTGCAGCCACGTGTACTTGTTCACACTGAGAACATGCGTGCAGAGTACTAGCCTCCCAGGGAAGGTGCCTTCTACCCCACACAAACAGGACCATTGTGAGTGGCGTGCTCGGGACCCCCCAGAACCATTCAGTTAGAACTGAAATGAACAGAATAGACAAACCCATGCTTAAATAGAAATTGGTTGTTCCAACTTCTAGTCTTTTTTTTTATTCCATTAAGACTAAATTTTCAAAAGCCAGATATCATTAAAACCTTCTGATGGGTTTTATAATCTTTTTTTAAAAAGTTTTAGTGAAAGCCCAGGCTGGTGTGGCTCAGTGGATTGAGCGTGGGCTGCGAACCAAAGTGTCGCTGGTTTGATTCCCAGTCAGGGCACATGTCTGGGTTGCAGGCCAAGTCCCCACTTGGGGGCGCACGAGAGGCAACCACACATTGATGTTTCTCTCCTTCCCTTCTTCTCTCTCTAACATATAAATAAAAAATAAAATCTTTAAAAATATATATTATCTTTTTTTTTTTAAGATTTTATTTGTTTATCTTTAGAGGGCAAGGAAAGGAGCGAGGGAGAGAAACATCAATGTATGGTTGCCCTTTGCGCATCCCCTGCTGGGAACTGGTCTGCAGGGAACCGGCCTACAACCCAGGCACGTGCCCTGACTGTGAATCGAAACGCGATTGTCTGGTTCGCAGGCCCGCGCTCAATCCACTGAGCTACACCAGCCAGGGCTATATATTATCTTTAAAAACAGTTATGGTGAAGCAGTTTTTGTGGCTAGGAGTCATCTTTGAAAGGGGGTTCAAATCCCACATTGTTCCAAACGAGTGCCCACTGTGTGCCAGGCACTGTGCCAGTGCGGTATGTGCATTCGGTCAGGGGTTCTGTGAAGTGGGAATGGCTGCCCCCAGGTGCGTAAGGAAACGGGAGAAGTCTAGAAAGCTAGCCAAGGTCACCACCCACCAGCTCTCTCCTTTTCTCCCCACCCAGTGACAAGGCAGCTGCCAAATGCAGGGTGAGAGGAGGCAAGCTTGGTTCCAGTCAACGAGTGTTTACAGGGCACCTGCTGGGCACCCGGCACTGGGCTGGACTCTGGGAGCCAAAGACATGGCCTCTGTACTCAAAGAGCTTGCGCCCAGCAGACTGCATTGCCCCCCTGTGTAGAGTCTTTTGGTAGATTCCCTGCCCCTTAGATTAGACGAGATCAGGCGCCTTGAGGGTGGTATGGCCGTAGACTCTGCCCCTTAGATTAAATTCAACTAATTTATTGTGGGCTTCAAAGCCCTAGGCTGCCTGCTCCTCCCCTCTGTTCTCTCCCCACCCCCAGCCCGGGCTCCAGTCGAGCTGCACAGTTGGTACTTCTGCAGGTGTGTCACTCTGCCTGCTGGACCATGGGATGGAGGCGTGCAGGAGAGACATCGGGGCAGCGCGTTCAGGAGCCGTGGAAGGTCCCTGACACCAGGGTTCCGCGTCAGTGCGCGTTGGGAAGGGAGTTCAGGGCCAGGTGGAGAAGGGCGTTACCTGCCTTACAGAGGCTTTGGGTTTTATTCGTAGGTGACTCTGAGCCCTTCAGAACATAACCAAGGTTTCCCCACTCCTCAGCAACCCGTGCACCCAAAGAAAGGCCTGAGAATTTTAATGACCCCCGAGCAGCTGACTCATGGACACCGTCACTTAATGGCAGTGTCCTTACTCATCTCTCCCACCGATGAAGCATCTGCCAGTATTTCCGAGACTCCACAGACCTCTCATGATCTGGGTCTCCTCGCGAATGCAGGCCTGAACCCCTGTATGAGATGCAGCATATGGCAAGGGCAGCGGTTCATCTCACTGGGCTGCAAGACATGGGTTCAGTGCTCAGGAAGCTGGGAGAACAGGGCAGGCTATGGGTTTGTGCCCCACCATGGATCAGCCTGAGCCCTGGGAGAGTGGAAACTAGGTATAAGAAGCCCATTCATTTCTTTGTGGGGCGCTGGAAAAGACTGGGGATCTCCTGTCAGCCTTTGCTGGGGCACCCTGTGAGTCTCTGAGCCCGAGTGATAGGCTAAGTCAGTGGCATCGCTGGTAGGTGGGGTGTGGTACCAGAGATGGGGTGGGGACATTGTCGGGAGGCTACTGCAGAAGCTTAGGGGGAACAGAAGAGTGCGGATTAGAATGGGCATTGGTAAGAGATAGGGGCAGGAATTTCTTGATCTGCAGAAGCCAATTCTGAGGGTTCTCATTTGGGTGATGAAGGCAGAAGTGGTGCCAGTGCCGGGGAATGGGGGAGGAACAGGCTTTGCAGAGCAGATGAGTTCCAGCCACCCACACGGACATCTGAGCTCTGCAGTGGATTCTGGTCAATATTCCTACCTCAACACCAGCCCAAAGGACTAAAGATGGAGATTTCAGCCACAGCATATTTCAAAAGGCTCTGGACTGGCCTCGTGTCCACAGCCCCACTCTGTCCAGCTCATCCTGCTCACCACAGGGAGATGGATCGTCCAAAAGCACCTTTTTGGTACCTGTTGCCCTTCTGGTCAGAGGTTTTCTTTGCTTTTTTTCTTTAAAACAATGTTGGTTTTCAGTTGCAGTTGGCATACAGTGTTAGATTAGTTTCACGTGTGCCACACAGCGATCAGACATTTATATAATTTATGAAGTAACCCCCCCCCCCATAACTGGGCAGACAGTCCCACTCCTCTGCCTGCAGTGTGAACGCCTGGCCCCCGGCCTGCAGTGGGAGGTCCCCTCTGCGCAGCCCCTCCTTCTGGGATGAGGCTTCTTTGGTCACAGGAGACAGGAGTGCCATGCAAACCAGCCTAGTTACAAGGGGACTTTACTGGTTATTGTATCAGCTGGGCCTTAGCATGTGCACACCCCCAGACACCCCACCTCTTGCTCCTTCTCTTTGCACATTGATTTCACTCTCAGCACACTTGGATCCACCTGGCAGGAAACATGAGGGAAAGCAACCCATAGTTCAAGTCTCATGACATTGTCAATGGAATGGGTAGAGTTTCTTCTTTACTCAGTTCCACTGAGCAAGCTTGGGCCAGGGCCCTCACCCAGGTCAACGGCCAGGAAGGTGGGGTCTGAACCACAGGCTGGGAGAAAATATGGAGCTGTCCTGGGGGGGAGAGGGGAAGGGTGAGGGTGTGTGTGTGTGTGCGCGCGCGCGTGCATATACACACACGTCATACGCCCACTGTCGTATTTCAGCATGCTTCAACCCTCCTCAGGACCTCCATCCACCCAGGCCCAACTACTCCGACCTCAGATGCCCCAAATACCCTTCCCGTTCTCAAGTTTTATCCTCCAGGGCCAACCCTGATGCCCCACCCTCTCCTTCCTCCTCCCCACCCCACCTGGGGCCACAGGGAATTTTCTCCTCTGGCACAGGAGAAATCAAAACGACAAAGAAGTAACTAGCGCAGGCTACAGAGTGGGAGGGGTGGGGACCAGACCCAGGCACTGTGTTTCCAGAGCTCAGGACCTGTTCTGCCATTTCTCTGTGTGTGGTCTTTCCAGACCGCCTCTCTGGGAGAGTAGGGACCAGGGCGGGCGTCTCCTGCTGGCAGCCCAGGGCTGGCAAGTTGCTTAGTCGGGATTGGCGCCTCCACAGCCTTTCTCCTCCTGCCCGCCCACAACTCCTGAGCCTGGGGACAGGGTCTTTGCTGGTGATTTGCACGATTTAAAATTCTGTGGGAACTGGGAAGCTTTTCTTACCGGAGGGTCAGAGTCAAATCAATATGAATTATAATGCAGATGCCATGTTTTTCTAATCCTCTCAACTGTCTCCTACATGCAAATGCGTGTCTGCAGCCTCCTCTGGGCTTTCCCACAGATGGCTCCGCGCACACCCTGCCTGTTGGGGCAGTAGGAACACTAACCTCCTGGGAGTTCAGGTCCCATTGTTCTGCCTGATTTGAAATGCAGGCTCTCATGTCATGTAGCCCTTGCAAGAAGAGACCCCAGCTCCATTCCTCCCTGGCTGGAACAGCGTTTTCTTCCTTGGAGAACTGTTGAAATGTGGGTTTCCGTGTTCATCGACGTTCCCGGCACGTTTGTGGAGTTGGCTGTGAGCCGCCAAATGTGTTTCCCAACCAGCTCCTGGGCCCCGGCTATTCCGGCCTGTCTAGACCAGACTTGCTGGGGGCCTTGTGGGGCTGCGGAGACATTCATTCCAGAGTCAGAGAGATAAGCTTGAGTGTTTGAGCCAGCCAACCTCAGCAAGCTGGGACCGGTCCTGGCCTTGTAACTGGACCAGAGGTACTGCAGCAGGCAGGCAGCGAGGTCTCCTGAAAGGACTGGAGAAACCTCTGCAGGGCAGCCAGCAGGCACTGACACGGGCGCCCGGCCACTGTCCTTAACTGCTTCCCTCCTGGCAGAGCGGCTGTGCGTCAGACCCGCAACACCTGCAACCTGAAGTGTTCGCTGCTGTCACCGGATGAGTAGCAGTCTGATACAAGTCTATAGAAACAGTTAACAGTTAGTGCTGACTATGTGCCAGGGTAGGGTCCAGGTGCTTTACCAAGGTATGGATCCATTTCATCCTTGTTAACCTCTCAGCACCTATTATTACGCCCACATTGCAGATCGGGAGACTGAGGCTTTACAGAGAGGTAAACTCGTTTGTCCAAAGTCACTCCTCCACTCAGTGTTCTGTGGGGAGAGAGGACAGGCCAGCCCTCCGCTCATACACCATGCTTTACATCTGCTGCAGTCAGGGCTATGAACACGCTAGCAAAAATAAGAAAGATGTAGCTAGGCTCAGATTGCCATGGAAAGCAACAATTATAGCAACTTATGAATTTCCTAACTAACCTTCAACTCAGTGTGACAAGCGTGGGCCTCCTCCACCCCCTGCATTTCTCTTAGCTGCCAATTTACCTTCCTTGTCAGCCCAGAGTTAACGGGAGCCATGTGAGTGGGGAATCACGATGCAGTGGCCACCCTCCCTCCCTCTCCCTTCCTCCTTTTCTTTCCTGCTCAAGGCATGCTTATCGCTTTGTGTACCTAGCCCCTTTTCTGACACCCTACCCCAAAAGAACCACTCCCAAGTGTTTGGTGCATCAAATTCAGGGCCAGTCTCGGGGCAGCAGATGTGGGACGTGCCTGCATCTTTCTCTCATGGTGGCCGTGGGTGGATTTGGTCCCCGGATGAAACTGGCGAGACCTGTGGGCAGTATGTTCTTGAGCCAAAGCCCAGCAACTTCCCTTCGTCCGGAGGTCCTGCCTCAGCTGCCTCACCCCTGCTGGTGCCGCAAACTCCACCCCCGTCCTCCCCTCTCCACCACCTTCTCCCCTCAGGATAAGAAGCTCTGAAACAAGGAATCAGACTTGCCTTTAGGAGTGACCTTCAAATTTAGGGGCAAACAGGGAACTCACGATTGAAAACAAGTTGTGTCACTACATGTGGTCATTAGTAGCTTCTATGGCATGTGCGTGAAAGGCTGATTCTTCATTCATTTTCTTGCTTGTCTCTCTTGGTCTGGTAGTTAAAGAACAAAATCCAAAGGGCACGTCTGTTTGGTGTAAACTTCCTGAGGGAGCACAGCTGTACCACACTTGCTCTGGGTGTCCCCACGCCCTCTGTCCCAGATGCCCACTGTCCCGTGCCGACGTCCTGTGCCTACAGAGGAATCGAGAATAATTTGGATCAGGCCAGTCTCTGAGGCACGTTGAATCCCAAAGATATCTACAGAAACCAGGGTGAAAGAATGGGAAGATCTGAGCTAGGATATGCTTGTGTCCTCTTTATTTTCCCAAGATTGGAAGCGGTTAGAGTGCTGGGACCTACCCCTTGTTCTGTCGCCTCTCCTGCTTAATTCTGACCCGTGTGTGAAATAACAGTGCTCGTGAATAGTACACGGGTGGAAACTTCTCTCTTCTGTCCTTTCCTCAGCACATGGTCCGAGGGAGGGCGGGAGGGTTCTTCGGCATGAGCAGTGTCAGAGTTCAGAGGGCACAGGTGAGCAGAACCATGGCTGAGGGCAGAGGTGCCCTCGTGTTACTTTAAATTGCTCGAATTTACTTTGTAGTCCAAAGACCTCAAAGCCTTCCAGGCCATGACTGACGTGGCTGCGTCTCAGGGAAACATTCGGCCTCCTCCCAGAGGGGCAGCAGGTGAGTGGAGGGGGTGGGGGCGATGTTAGCAAAAGTTCAGTTGTTCGGGGAAGCCAACGGAATTCTGCCAAGTGTGGCAGATGCGTGTGACCCATCCCAGGAAGCAGGGAGCTCATTCCTGGTCCCCAGGGAGCACAAATGTCAATCACAATGCTCTCGAAGATCCAAACGGGTGTGTTGTATTAACTTTTCTTCTACCGTGTGTGGGCACCCCTCATTAACCATGGAGCTGGCAGCCTGTCAAAGTAGTTATCTTAGCAGCAAAGTCACGGTGGCAAGGTCAAGGTTTCATAATACATAGGCACTTGGGAAAAGTAACAAAAGTTGCATTAATATATGTGATTACAACAGTAAGTGAACATTCTAGCTCATATCCATCCCCAAAATAACCCATTTAATGATGAGAGAGACCACATGCGGGTGACTTTGGAGTTGCTGCCATCACTTGTTTGACAGCACCCCCATCACCTGCGAGGCAGAAGCTCCCATTGGCTCTGAGGCGGTGGAGCCAGTGCTCACCGGCTCTTTGCTGTTGCTCGTTTGCTCTGATCTGCCTCCCTCCCTCCCTCCCACGCCCCCCTCTACCCCCTTCCTCTTCATCTCCCTGCGTCTTCCCTCCCTCCCCCTTTCAAATACAAGTTTAGCAATTGCGTAACCTCCTAAGTTTTCACAATTTATGCAAGAGCTTAAGGGTATATTTTTTGAAGTCTGGTCTTCCCTCCCAAATTATTTGTGAGGGTCGGTCTTAGTCATTTTCATTTCTCTTCCCTCTGGGTACCTCCCTATAGTACCCATCTACAGAGTCCACAAGGGGAGAAAAATAATTGTGGGTGATCCTCTAAGGAGTTGGGACAGAAGTAATTAGATAGCTGATCTTATATTTTTGGTAGCGAGTGTAAAACAGTATTATCTCAGAACCGGACTGAAAGATTGTTGTACACAAAATGCTAAAATGACCTTGCTGCTTGTGAGAGACGCTGAGAAGGAAAGAGTAGATGGAGCGGTGGGAAGTGGTCAGGGTATCGGGCGTCAGGGAGGAAGGAGAGTCTGGAGAGAAGCGCGGACCACACACTCTCGCTGGCAGGTCACGCAGAGGAGGGGCCCGCCCATCTCCACATTTTTCAGGGCTCTAAGGAGAGGCGGGCCCAGGACGCAGCCCGAGGGGTTCAGGCTGGGCATGCAGGCTGTCAGGGTGGCTAAAGAGGGGCCAGGGTCACAGTGGCCTTGGCATTTGGCTCAGCTGCCAGTGACAGGAGCACCCAAAATAACGGGCTTAAACAATGCAGGCGATCACATGGAAGACCTGGAGGCAGGCAACCCAGGCTGGGATATTGACCCCCACAGCTGGGGGGGCCCTGGGCTACTTCATGCCTCCTGTTCCTCCAGGGCGTGCCTGGCTCCCATGGTTCAGGACGGTGTTGCCGCTCCAGCCACCACATCTCAGCTGAGAAGTCCCACCAACACTGCAGTTTCCCCTTCCTTGGCCAGAACTTAGCCACAGAGCTAACCATGTCATCCTTCAGCTATGTGTCCATATGCCCAGCTAAAGTAGGGCTTCAAATAATTGGAGAGAAAAGAGGAATCTTCATAACCAAGGAATGCCATCGACGTTCCTCATTCGGGGTACTCGTTCATTCAGCGGGTACGGAGTGCCCAGTTGTCCAGGCGCTGCTCCACGGCAGCTGGGACGAAGGCACGTGGGTTTCTCCTCTGGTGAAACTTAGAATCTAGTGGGAGCAAGGTGGGCAATAGACTAGCAGTGAAAGGGGCCTGGTTGACAATGTGCATTCCACATGCAAGGCTTTACAGTGAGCTGTCTCCGGAAGCGCCCGTACACAGTCAATGATCGGAGCAGACCGGGTCCAACATGCTGCTCGCTCCTGCGGGCAGCTGAGACGGACAGCACCGGCCTCCGATATGCCCCTCCCGCGTGGAAAGCACCATGGTGGGGAAGAGGAGGTGGGAGAAGTAAACAGTTAGTAAGCCGGAGCCCTACCTTGGAAGTGGCCCTGAGTCATTCATTCTGTGGCTGGTGCCTTCATGGGCTGATGTGCCCAGCAAGGCTCAAGGATGAGAATCCAGCTGTGAAATCTCGTCTTTTTTCTTTGGTGGAGAAGGATTTGGAGCACTTTCCCTGAGAAGTTACAGAGCAGTGTGATGAGGCTGGCTTTTCATTTCTAAGGGCTTTTGAGGCCGACCAGGGAAGCTTGGGAAAACACAGGGACACGGCCTCTTCCTGCTCCCATGACCTTCAGCCAGCCACCCCCGAGCCCAGGTTTGCTGGGAGCCGAGCAGGTGTCCAAGTGCAGTTCACGAGTTGTGAGTGGGTGCGGTTTCTGAATTAGACCAGAGCCGTGTCGCCCACCCAGACCTCCTGCCCTGTCCGCCGCGCAGGGGCTGGGCCAGGCCAGGGCGTCTCAGACCGTCTGAGGGGAAGGGCCAGTGGGTCTGTTTGGATTTAGAGTTTCAACTTCCAATCTGTCTTAATTAAAAGTAAAGTATTAGAAAAATGAAGTTAAAAAGACAAAATATAGACTTAGATTTCTATTATTAGATTCAAGAAACATAAAATTACTGTGTCCAGTGTCACAGCTAACAGTTTCTAAAGGCCAACTCAATTCCTGAACTAGAGTTTGCCGGTAGCAGAGAATTCAGAGCCATCACCACCAGCCGAGGGACCGCATGGTGGGCAGTGCTGTGTGACAGGCCCGGGGCCATGGGCCAGCTGGGGACGGTCCTTCCCGGCTTCAGCTCCCAGGACGGTCCTGACGGAGAACCAGGAAGCTCCTCCGAGGCCGTGACACACCTTGTGCCTACACACCCCTCCCCCTGGGGCCCCCATCCTGACCCCCACATTTCTAATCGCTGTCTGAGTAGACTGATAAAAGGAAGGGTTTGCCCACTCCCCTGTCACAGTCCCCGCGTGCAGGTGAAAATTTTCCTACACACTTACAGCCAGAGAATTGAAAGGTCACAGCCAATTGTAATCATTACCCAGGCTCCCCGACCTGAACAGGGCTTTGGGCACATACCAGTTTGATTGCAAAGCAGCCAACCGAGAGGTGACCATGGTCTCCAGCTGGCCTGGCCAGCTGGCCTGGCAGGGTGGGCGGTTACTGTTGGCTCTGTGTTGCAGTTCTCCAAGGAGAGGCACGTCATGGACAGAACCCCCGAGAGGCTGAAGAAGGAGCTGGAGGAGGAGCTGCTGCTGAGCAGTGAGGACCTGCGCAGCCACGCCTGGTACCACGGCCGCATCCCCCGACAGGTACCTGCCTCCTCCCTGCCAGCACACACCCACCTGCTCTCAGACAACACCCAAATCGATGGCCCTGCGGGGTCATGTACCAAGGCCGTGTAGGAGTGAGCCCCAGTTTAGCCAAAAACAAATACCATAAAGTGGCCTGCTTCTAAGGACACCTTGGAAAAAGCTAAGGTCAGACAACCAAAGTACATTTCCACGTGCCTGATAAATGGATGAGGAAGAAGCAGGTGTTCTGTGGTCTGCAAACATGGAGCGGGCAGGAGGCAGCAGCCACAGGGTGGTACCTCAGAAGAACAAGGCTGGGCTGCGGTTCGGATGATTCAGTCCTTGGCCGGCTGCCTGCAGCCTCATGCCCTTTGGAGCCTGCTTCCTGTCTAAGGCAGCGGCTTAATTTCCGATAAGGAGAAGGGTATCACTGAGGCGGGTGGCCCGGAGCAATGGGACCCTGTGCACCGGCGGGGCCGGCATTTCTTCACTGCCCAACCCTCTAGTTCCGAGAAGGGAAGAAGAGGATTCGTATCAGTGACCACAGACCCACGGCCTAGAATGTACTTTGTGAGAGCACTGCTTGAGGGATTGCTGTGAATAAGGGTTTTTTTTTTTTGTTTGTTTAATAATACAGAAACTGAAAGGTAAAATGAGTACAGAGTTCAAGTGCAGAATTTTCCTTGGGCTCTTATTATAAGCTGATCTGGCCAGTCTTTTTCCAAGGCCACCTGACAGGAGAGGGGCAAGTGGGGGAGAGGGGAGGCGCACAGGCCACGACTTGTTTTTTAATGCAGCAGATTTCTCAGCACCGTCAAAGAAATAATCCTTAGTCTTTTCTCTTTTTTTAGTTTAAATCTGATCATACAAAATACAGGCAGCAGAAAAGGAAGGAGATTTCACTCTTACCCATAACTCTCCATCCTGGAGGAAACCAGTGTGAACAGTTTGATATAAATTCTCCCAGACTTTTCTAAATCGAGTGTGAGGTCACGTCATACACCTGTTGGCAGCCCGCTTTCCCCACTCAGTGCTGTGCCCGGGGAAGCGTCTGCAGCCGCGACGTGCTCTTCCCCAGCACCGTGCGTGCGTCCTCGTGTGCACGCACAGCTCTTCACGGGCACTCGGGCCAACCTTCTCTACGGTGACAGCTGTGTTCACAACTGTGATTATTTCCTCAGGCTCAAGTCCAAGAAATAGAGTTTCTGTGTGGGGAAAAAAAAACCCAACACATTTTTAAGGCAAAGATGCAATTTTAAAGTAACCATGGTAGCATTCTATTCTAAGCTAACTGATCAAATGTTGGAATGGCCTGGAAAAATTGTCAAAGTTTATAAAATCTGTGACCGGTACTGCCACCCTTCTCCTCGTGGTGGTAGTTTCCCACTTGCCGTGTGTGTAACGGTTCAGCGAGAAGTCAGTGCAGTCTGCACGACTGAGCACAGCAGTGACAAGGACAGTCGTGGCTGCCTCTTTAGCCCTTTCAAGTCTGCGGGGCTGCTCTGCACCGACACTGTCCCTGCTCTGCCGGTCGTGGGACTGAGCCCCAGCGCGAACGTGCAGCTTGTGCAGAGTCGCACCGAGGGCCAGAGGCAAACCCAGGCAGTCTGGCTCCCGGGATGGCCACGCCATGCCACAGTACACATCCTCCTTTCTCTAGAAACCTCAGCATCCTCACAGTTAACCGTTTTTGAGCAACCGGTGTGTGCCACGGAACTAGTGCTTTGATATGTGACGTGTGCAGGGGTGTAGTGCTCCCACCGACCCAGTGGAAAATGAGGGGCCCTGGCCCTCCAGCCAGGAGTGAGTATGCTCAGGATCGCGGGCACGGAGGTCAGACACGCCAGATGCGAATTTTCTCCTCTCCGTGACGGATGTGTAAATGTCGCCTCGTGCCGCCCTCAGGACCACTCATCCCCTGGCCCTTTCCCAAGCACTGCCGACCTCCCAGGTTCTTTTCCTTCGCTCCACCACATCACACGCCCTCCCTGCGGCTGGTTCACTCCCACTGCAGCGGGGGCTGCACAGCACAGGGGCTCTGGTCGGCTCCATTCACTGCTGCACAGCCGGTGCCTGCAACAGCACTGGGCACATAGTAGGTGGTCAGCAAGTAGTACTTAGATGAATGAATGGGTCTTCTAAGAATTAGACATTTGAACAAGCCAAGACCCAATTGGGGAAGCAGAGACAGAATGGTGTTGTCTTCTGGTGGCCAGGATGTGGAGGAGGAGCGCAGCTTTGGAAGGGAATGTCAGCTGCCTTTCCTGCTCCTCACTCACTCACCATTTTGTCCCCAAGGTGGCAGAAAACCTCGTGCAGCGAGATGGTGACTTCCTGGTTCGAGACTCTCTGTCCAGCCCGGGAAACTTTGTTCTGACCTGTCAGTGGAAGAACCTTGCTCAGCACTTCAAGATCCACCGGACGGTCCTTCGGCTCAGCGAGGTCTACAGCCGGGTGCAGTACCAGTTTGAGATGGAGAGCTTCGACTCCATCCCCGGCCTGGTGCGCTGCTACGTGGGCAATCGCCGGCCCATCTCCCAGCAGAGCGGAGCCATCATCTTCCAGCCCATCAACCGGACGGTGCCCCTGCGGTGTCTGGAGGAGCGCTATGGCGCCTCCCCTGGCCGGGCCCGGGAGGGCAGCCTCGTGGAGGGAAGGCCAGACGTGGCCAAGAGGCTGAGCCTCTCGGCGGGCAGCGTCCAGGCCCGAGAGCCGAGCTTGCCCAGAGGAAACCTCCTCAGGTGGGTCAGGGCCTCTTCGTGGCGTCGGGATGTGAGGGGCACTCTGAACGAGGCCAGGCTTAGTTAGGCAGACGAGGAGCTCGCCCTGGAATAGGAACAATAAAGGATGTTAATATGATGCCAAATGTGACTGGAATAGCTGTCACAAGACAGCGCATGGTCTGTTCCCAGTTGAGTTGGTGCCAAAAATAAATGACACAGTTGCCAAGGGATGGGGGTTGGCCAGGAGAAGGTTTTATGAAGGAGGCAGGAGTCCAGCTGGTCTGAAGGCCAGGGCAGATTCGGGTAGTGACCGCAAAGGGGGCCTTCTGGTGGGGCTCAGCCTGAGCAGGAGGGTAGAGCTAGAAAGGGGCCAGAGGTGCTTGGAGCGAGTAAATAGTGGGTCTGGGGCAAAGGGTCCCTGGAAGGGGCGGGTAAGCTTAGAGGGGCCCTGGCCAGATCATGGGGCCGTAGTCCCAGACTAAGGGGTTTGAGGAAGTCTCAAACACTTGACACGTGAAGGAAACGTCCTAAGAATGTGCAAGAGGGGCAGGGAAAGGGAAGAGCTGGAAGACCAGGTAGTGAGTGGTGGAGGGTCAGGCTATGTGGGTGGAGTGGGGGAGAGGTGGGCGGTGCAGGCGCCAGGCTTCCCAGGGTCCTTCTGCGTGTGGGGAAGGTGGAGGAGGACAGTCGGCTACCACAGGAGGGGCCAGAGCAGGTGGACTTTGGAGGGAAAACCAGCCTTTCCATCCGAGATAGGACTGTGTGCCCCCTGAGCGCCAATGTTCAGCAACAGCATGGGGGGGGGGTGTCACAAGGGGGCTGGGCCTGCAGGCTTAGATTAAGGCCTGGTGCACACGGGAAGGGTGGCTGACTCAGTGGGAAGGGGTGAGATGCCTAAGACAGCAGATGTCAAGAGCCCAGGGCTGCGGTCTGAACCTTGGGGGCTGGGAGAGGAGTGCAGAGCACCAGGCCCTGAATGGAGGCACCCTGCCGTTGACCCTCGGTGCCCTATGTGGGTAAGGACCCGCCATTCCGCCCCCTCGCACAGCTGAGATTCCAGGTGTGAGTTGTGCATAGAATCCAAACTGTGCCGGGAGAGGAGGCAGAGGCAGGCCTGGTAGGCAAAGGTCGCCCCCACCCCTCACTTACACAGCTCCGTTCTCTGGCTAAGTTTATACGCTTAAGCCAATGTATTTCATTCCACCTATGGATTTTCTTCCTGGACCAGAAGGAAATGCCATAAACAGCCATTTCTAAAGTACAAAACTTCAGAAGTAAAATACAGGAGTCTGAGTAACACATATTACAGCAGTGCTACTAGGAAGCTGTGGCCCCCGCCCACCTGGACTCAGATGCTGGTCCCCCACTCACCTGGTCAGTCCGGGCAAGCTGCCGGCCTTCATCTGGAAAGATGGGGCTTGTGAGGGCTAAACGAGTCATGCTGTGCAAAGTGCTTAGACAGTGTTGGCACATCGTAGGTGCCAGGTAAGTGTTAATAATAATCATAATGTAATAATTCTTGTTCCTGGAAGGCAGTAGAGTGTGAAACTGAGCGCAACTGCAGGAAGGGAGGAAGAACTTTTATCTAAGGTATTCAGAAATTCTCCTTTGCGTAGTAATAAAACTGGGCTTGAGATCCCTTAAAATATTAAAGGGGTAGGGACCCTTTCCTTCTGGCTCCTTTGGGAGTTGAGGTTGGCTGCCCAGCTGATGAACAGGGAGTTAACGTGCACAGAGCTGGGGTGTACTGGTCCACAACACACTGACCCCTGCGGGGTGTGGTGCTGGGAGGAAGGCCTGCTGGTCTGCCTTCTGAGACCCGGATTTAAAATACAATTATTTCTTAAAGGTAAGAAACAAAAGAAAAACTGAGAAAGTCCCTGAGGAAGACGCAGGCCCCCCAGAGCACCTCTTCTGATTGCCCTTTGAAAGCAGAGCTCCCTAAGCCGGTCCCCTGTCACCTCCGGGCACAGGCTGCAGGCCCAGAAGTGTCTGAGCGTGGGGGTGGGGCAGGCCCAACGTCAGCAGTGGCCCCACGCCCTGCCCACCCCCCCACTTCCTTGGCTCCAGCACCCTCCCTGTCTTTGGACTTGCCGGTTGGCTGGCGGGCAGCCGGCCTGGGCAAAGGTGTGTGCAGTTGGCCAGGTTGCATTCCAGGCTGGTGCTCT